GGTGTGAACCATCACCTGCGGTAGCCTGGCCTTCGGGAGCACTCTCTGATCCTTCTTTCTTTTCCCTAGTCTCACTATTCTGGTAATTCTGCTGGTAGTTGCATGGAGGACCCCCGCAATGAGGATAGCGTCTGCAATGGTTATTGTCTGCTGCATATTTACTGACTTGCACTGCAGCTCCACCAGGACCTGTAGCATCTGCTGCCTCCGCACCCTTTTCTCCTTCAACAACATCAAACCCCACAGTGTCTCCATCTCCTACACTGCCAAGGGACTTCCTAGGGCTATTCTGTATGGCAGTCTGGTTTACAAACGCATCGTCCTTTGTGTCATTCCTGTTGATAAAACCATATCCGTTTCTTACAGTGAACCATTTTACTGTTCCCGAAATCTTCGTTGTGATGAGTTTGTCCCCGCCGGCAGGCGCAGCCGATGTGAGGCCACCCAGGCCGCCACTCCCTGTGCCGTTGCCCGTGGTGCCAGGCTTGGTGTCGGCAGTCCTGCGGGTGGGGGCGGCGGGCCGCTGCTGGGTCTCGGCCTCGCTTCTCATGGCTGCGGTGATGGTGACTGGGGCTGGCTGCGGCAGATAGTATGTGTTAAGTTGTGTTATGTTTGGATTTGTGCTTATTTTAGCACATGCTATATTCATATAACATTTTATTTAGAGGACTATATATAACTTTTTGTTCTTATTGAAATAATTTCTTTAGTGATTTTTTCTGCATTAAATAAAGCCAGTTTCTGGAAACCAATTTACCATCAGAAAAACTTTATGGTCCAATACTTCAATCAATCCTCATGTCTTCTCTTCTGAGACAAATATAAATCACATTCCAGATATGGATAAAATAGAATAGAGAATTTATGACTAAACGGTTATCTGTTTGTTCTTTTATAAGTTGTGGCAAATATTATTTAATATTGATTCAATTATCTTGACGTTTTGATTATTCTACAGGGTTTCTCTTTCTGGTTTATTTATTTTTTTTATGTCAGACAAGTTATTTAACACAAAAACCCATGGCTATTAATGTGTAAGATATTAATAAAGATTTATAACATGAGAATACTGATAATTAAACATTTAAATACTTAGCTTATCTATAACAGACAATTCTTTGTTAGTAACTTAATTGAAATTTTTTTTATGGTCAGATTGTTTTTTAATTTAGCTTTGTTACATATACTGATAAAAATTGTAATTATTTTCAAATCTATATGTGTTTCTCTGATATTCCTTCTTATGTCACAGAAAATAGAAGAAATGTTCCACAACTTCTGCCTCCCTCTCTACCAACCTTCCGCCTCTTCTCAGGCATTCTGCTGCTCTCCTGTTCAGAGGCTGAGCCATACACACTGTCTATCATCTAAGATCAACTCTCTGATGTCTACTGGATCCCAACTGCTCTCACCTACTCAGAGACATTGCCTCCTACAATTGTCTCTATCTTCCCTGCATTGTAAAGTTTTCCCTTCTCTGCCATACCATTCCCATAAACATACAGAGACGCAATAATATGTCTTGTATCAAAAGAAAAAAAAAACACAAAACAGCCCAAACTCCAGATCCTCTTCTAGGTTCATCTTGATTTCCTAGGCTCTGCCTCACTGTATATCTCCTTGAAAGAGTTTGTTTTCATTCATTATTTTCTACTCTCATATCTACTCTAGTTCCATTTTCATTTGCAGGAATCTACTAAAACTTTTTCAGTGATTCCAGATTGCCAAATTCAGTGATTGATCCTCAGTCACCTTTTATTCTTCCTCGCAGCGTTTGTTACTGTTGTTCATTTGGTCTTTCTTGGAATACTTCATTCTCTTCTTCCCTGAGCCACAGTGCTCTCATGTTCTCCTACTACTTCACTGTTTCCTCTCTTTCTTACTCTTTGGTAGTATTTCCTTTTCTTCCCCATATTCAGACAGTCCTGGGACTTCACTTCTCTCTTTACATTCACTCCCTAGTGGGCATCATCCAGTTTTGTGACTTTATTTTTTTAAATTTGCACTGTATTTATTTATTTATCTATTAATTAATTAATTTATTTATTTATTTTTATTTTGGTTTCATTAATATACAGTTACATAAGCAACATTTTGGTTACTAGATTCCTCCCATTATCAAGTCCCCACCATGTACCCCATTACAATTACTGTCCATCAGTGTAGTAAGAAGCTATAGAGTCACTGCTTGTCTTCTCTGTGCTCTACTGCCTTCCCCATGCCCCCACCCCCACATTATGTGTGCTAATTGTAATGCCTCCTTTTCCCCTTATCCATCCCCAGCTTTAAATTGAATGATTTAATCTACAGTTTGAAAAAAAAGTAAAAGAAGTCTACCTGACTTTTCCTGAACTTTGTACATATATTTCCAATATTTATTTTCACTTGTTTGCCTGGTAGTCATGTTGCATTTAACATGAAGGGAAACAATTCTGATTTCTCTAACCACCCAGTTCTTGCTGCATTAGTAAATGGCTGTCTATAGCTCAGCCAAAAACTTTGAAGTCATCCTCCACTTCTCTCTCTCTCTTTTTTTTTTTTGTAAATTATTTAAGACTTTTATAAACAGGTGCTTGCTGTTGACTTTTTTGAAAAAATCAAGTTGTAAACTGTTGTTACAAATTAAAAATGAGGTTCTTAAAAATCTCAACTTGACCAGATATGAACTAATTTTAAAACCTTTAAAGTTATATTGAGAAAAAACAGTTTTTTAAAAAAAATATGCTTGTCATTACCAAAAGGGGACATCGTGAAGTAAAAATAATAAAAACCCCATGCTGCATAGATAATGTAGACAGTTCTGGTTATCTGGTCAATGGGCAAAAACAAGCACTTAAGGTCTTCAGCTCCAATCTTTTGTTGATTTCTTATTGCTGGAATTTCATATTCATTTCTGCTTGTTGAATGACTAAACCTCATGATGGTAGAGATGGTAAACCGGCATTTATTCAGCCCCACCCTGCTCAGCCTTCCGAGCGGATGAATTCTCAGCTGGTGGATTGGCTGCTTTTGTCTCTTTGCCATCTTGTGGTTTAGGGTTTTCTGGGCGTCTGCATCGGTAGTTGAGGTTGCGGCAGTACTGACGTTGAGGTGGCTGCTGACCTTGTGTCTCATCTCCTTGATTTTCCTTATCTTCTTCATTGCTGTTCTCCCTAGGCTGTCTTAGGAGAGGAGGACCCCTGCAGAATTGTGGTCTGTAACCCCGACACATATCTGTCATCTGTCTCACTGGTCTACCTTGTTCTCCTGCGCCCTGGTTGTCCACACCCTCCGTCACTTCTCCCCGCACAGTAGGGTTGGCATACTGTAGTCAATGCCCATAGGGTCTCCACATGTAGTAAGGTGTGAACCATCACCTGCGGTAGCCTGGCCTTCGGGAGCACTCTCTGATCCTTCTTTCTTTTCCCTAGTCTCACTATTCTGGTAATTCTGCTGGTAGTTGCATGGAGGACCCCCGCAATGAGGATAGCGTCTGCAATGGTTATTGTCTGCTGCATATTTACTGACTTGCACTGCAGCTCCACCAGGACCTGTAGCATCTGCTGCCTCCGCACCCTTTTCTCCTTCAACAACATCAAACCCCACAGTGTCTCCATCTCCTACACTGCCAAGGGACTTCCTAGGGCTATTCTGTATGGCAGTCTGGTTTACAAACGCATCGTCCTTTGTGTCATTCCTGTTGATAAAACCATATCCGTTTCTTACAGTGAACCATTTTACTGTTCCCGAAATCTTCGTTGTGATGAGTTTGTCCCCGCCGGCAGGCGCAGCCGATGTGAGGCCACCCAGGCCGCCACTCCCTGTGCCGTTGCCCGTGGTGCCAGGCTTGGTGTCGGCAGTCCTGCGGGTGGGGGCGGCGGGCCGCTGCTGGGTCTCGGCCTCGCTTCTCATGGCTGCGGTGATGGTGACTGGGGCTGGCTGCGGCAGCCGCAGCTCCTCCCGGGATTTGATGTTAACTAGGCCGGCGGTGGCTGGGGGGCTGCCCAGGGCCCCCTGGGGTCCGCTCTCTGCTACCGCTACTGATCGAACTCTCGACTTCTCTTTTTAAGCAACACCTAACAGCCTCCATAAGAGAATCCTGTTGGCTCCGCCTTTGCAGCATTTCCAGAAGGGACCCATTTCTCATGATATTGCTACCAACTTTGTTCAAGTCTGCTATTCTCTCTTCCTCAACTGTTGCATCACCCTCCTGACTAGCCTCTCTGATTCTACTCTTACTCTCTAGAGTCAGTTTATTCAAACAGATGCCACACTAATTCTTCTAAAACATAAATCCGATCAGTGTCACTTGTCTCTCAGAGCCTTCCAATGACTTTACTGTCATTCAGAGTAAAACCACATTGCTCTCTCTGGCTCCCTGAGGTCTTCCTGACCCATCTGTCATCACTCCCTTTCTTGCTCACTTAGTTGGCTCTGGCTCCAGATACTCCAGATGTACTGGCCTTTTGCTTTTATTTTACATGCCAGGCACCTCCTTGTTACAAGCCTTTAGGCTTACTTTTCTGTCAGCCAATAATGTTCCTCTTCCACATATCCACATTACTTAGTTCCTCATTTCCTCAGTTCTCTGCTCAAGGTACCACTTTGTCAGTCATACTTTTGCCACCCTGTATAAAATAGCACAAACAGCCCCCCTCATTCTCCACTTTGGTCTCTTTATCCCTCTTACCCTGCTTTATTTTACTTCATATTAGATATCACCATCCACACTAGAGTAGAGACTGTTGGATAGGAACTTGGATCTTTTTAACTTTCTCCAGTGTCTAGATTAGTGTCTGAAACAGGAGACGTTCAGTTGTATTTTATGCACCATGAAGATATTTGTACCTAGCAATTATTTAGTATTTAATTAAAAAAATATATTATGAATGTTTATTTTTAATTTATAAAATACTGCAACTAACTTCTATAAACATTCTCTAATACTTAACTTTTTGAATTGCCCATAAATTAAGTCAATTTAGTAGCAACATAAAGCCTTTTGTTTGATTTTATTCTAGGTATGAGTTAATACAGAAGGGAGTAACTGAACTTAGAGATGTTGGGAATGTTCCAGATGTCTACACTCAGAATTTGCTTTTAGAAAATGAGAACAAAAATTTGAAGAAAGACTTGAAGCACTACAAACAGGCAGCTGAGTATGTTGTTCTTTAAATGACTTTTTATTTTTCTTTTGGACTAAATAAAAGTAAAGGGTTTAATAAGGCTAATATGTGGATGGTAGCTAATATACCAGAGCATTAAATCTGGAGAACTGAATTATATTTCAATTGTAGTTGGAAAGAATATGAAAGGCTTCACTAGCAAACTAATTGACTAGATGACCACAACTCACAACTGCAATTCACCAGCCAGAGTTGGAAAGCAAGGGGTTGTATAGGAGATGGTTAATTTTTTTATATAACATTGACTTTCTTATGTATTTTGATAATTTTTTCATGGTCTGTGAAATCTTCCCCTGTGAGGATAAGTTAATTTCTGAAATAATAATAAAATTATAGAAAGCAGCGAGGAAGGCAGGAGCTACTGTATTTCCAGAAGGGACCCATTTGTCATTAAATACTGAATAATTTCAGTATTTGAAAATTCCCTAAAGGAAACTTATTTTGTAATTTCCTCCTAGCATGAATTTATGCATAGAGAAGAAATTAAACAAAGCCAAATCTTTCCACATCTTTCTTCTTTCAAAGATTAATGGAAGATGTGCAATTTCTGGCAAACAAATTTAGATGAACAGTGTTATTCTGGCAAAGACAGATATGTGAACGTGTTGATGTGGGGTAAACGTACTCATCTAAGGCAATGTTAGATGGAAAATCAATGCTTAGTTATGGAGTAGAGACCATTTGTGCTTTGTTCATTGATTTTTATTCAACATATTTAGAAGGGCTTTCTCTTTTAAAGAATCAAATAACAAAAAATTATTTAAGCAGGACTACCATACAAGAACATATTATTTTTCAGATCTTTGTAAAAGAGTTTAAGGTAAAGAAAGAAGACTTTTTATTGCAAAGTGAAGGAAACATTTGAAATATGCTCCTACTTTTAAGGAGAGGTGATAAATAAAAGATAATTTGCATGGTCACTTATTCAGTTATTATTTACATTTATAGAAATGTTTTGGCAAATTATACAAATTTCAAATTATCTGTGAATGTACCATTTGGCATTTGGCATTTTAGATGGAAATGTATGGCAATCCACAGAATGGTATGTTACTAGGTCCAGCATTCTTTCTATTCTCAGTTTCATTTCTCAGAAGTGGTTTGTACTGTTGGCTCTGACATTCGCTGTGATTTTGTATAGACACCTAATAGATACACTGGGAATCTGGCACAGCAAATTTTTCCAAGTGCTGCCTGGCATGGTGTTTCAGTTCCTGATATCCTTTGAATTACTGCTTAATTTGCTAATTTTCTTTTGAGTAGATAAAGTCTCTTTGGGTAATAAGTTTTGCTCCATTTACATTAAATAATCACTGTTGATTACTGGTTGGTTAAAGAATATTATATTTATTAACTATAATCAAAACCATATAAACTATATATGTTATTAGCTTAATGTTAAAAGAAACCATGATTAAAACAGATATCACTCAAATGAAATTTGTTTCTTGTTTGTGTTTATTAAAATTTCAGATTACTTAATGTTTATAAAATTTACTGTATTTACTAGACTATATTCAATGGCTTATGGTTATCTCTCATATCTAACTTACTCAATGTAATTAAGCTTTAACAAAGTAAAAAGGAAAATATTTACTTGCTTTAATCTATGTGACATGGACAATTTAAAGGAAAGATGTTTGACACTTAGTAGATGCCTAATACTATTTATAGCACTGAATGAATATTAAATGCCTTATGTTTTCACAGCACCTTTTCGTAAAGGATGCCCTAGCAGACTAATTCTGCTGAATAAATTCTGGAAAATGGAGAATAAAGGTTTATAAAAAAGTTCCCCCAATTACATCTGTCATGCTACACAACTTTGCCCTAAATTTTAATATTTTATCACATAGGTTTTTCAATTTGAAGACTTGTGAAGGTATTTTTCTAATAGGGATTAGTGACAAGCATGGGATTCCCTTTATGGAATTTACCCTAAGGTTTTCTTTTTAGGATTAAAGTTATTTCCTAAGGGAAGATAAGTATATTAAATGCTTTTCTCATAATAACAAATATTTAACATGCAGAAAGAGTCAGGCTACAGGTATTTCAAATAGCCTTGATTATACTGGTAGCATTTAATGATGTATCTAGAAACAGCAGAGAAATCATATTAGCTATAAGCTTAATGTTTATCTAGGGGAGAATTGCCATAGAAAAAGTAATGAATTCAAAAGTTCAAATACCTAGCTTCTAATATTCTGCAATTTATTAACTCAGTTTTCTTGTTAAACTAGGACTCATTATATATAATATTAACTCCTAGGGTGTGATCTGATAATTAAATAAGACAATCTACCTTAAACAGCTGTGTAAATAAATCATGAAGTGCTTTGAAAATGTTAGCTATTACCAATATCTTTAAAGGCTGTCATCCTTATATTTAAAAAAAATCATCACATCATTATTATTCTTGAAATTCAGTAATGGTGAAGTTTGAAAGAAGAAAAGGGGAATCATTTCACTCTAAAATATCATTTGAATTACTATAATTAAAAAGAAAAATTGTCTTTTCCTCTGATGTAAGCAATACCAATTTTAGAACAACAGTTTCCCTAATACTTGCTGCAAATGTAGATTTTCTTGTCTAAAATACAAAATTTGGTGTATGGTGTTGTATGTATGTACAGTGACAGATGTTAACTAGACTTAATGTAGTGATCATTTTGCAATATATACAAATATTGAATAGTCATGATGTTTACCTGAATTAATACAATGTTATATGTTAATTATGCCTCGATGTAAAGAAAAATTTGGAAAATAACTGAAAAGTTTCCTTGTAGATATTTTTAAGGGGAAAAATGTATTATTAAAAAGATTTATAGTTACACTGAAGAAAAATGTATGTAGTAGATACTGGGGAGGAATGATATGTCATAGTTTGACATTCTTTATTGGAAAAGGCAGCTATGATTGTACTCTTATATTGAAATGTAGATCAATTGTTATTTTTAAATGCAGAGGTCTAGGATTTAGGTAAACTTACTGCACATTTGCAAAGAATAGTTGGTTAGATGAAAGCATAATTGGTTGGTTGGTTAACTGAAAAGCATCATTTAATATATAGTATTTTTCACAGTTAAGACACTATTTCATAAACCTGTGTTACTTGGTAGTGGATATGCCACAATATTCACTTCAGCCTGATGTACATATAAACTATTATGAGTTTTATTAATTAGGAAACTGCTTGATTTTGTTTCATATCTTGACTTAGAGTTTTATGTCTTCTCATAATGTAAACATTACAATGCTCTTAAATGGTTTCCTCCTGCACTTCCACTGTACTTGTACTCGAACATCCTATAATTTGGCTTTCACCCCACCTATTCTACTCAAGTATACATTCTAATATTCACTCCTCTCCTTCCTCAGCTTCTGTGACACATGATGTTCTGCCTCTCTTAAGTTATTGACAGACTTCTTTTCCTACTCATTGTTTACATGCTCTAAGGTTGCTTTCTAATAAGATAGCCACAAACTACATGTAGATGTTGATAGATATAACATGTGCCAGGTGGTGGTAAGTGGTATGAAGAAAAATATGAGTAAATATTTAACATGCAGAAAGAGTCAGGCTACAGGTATTTCAAATAGCCTTGATTATACTGGTAGCATTTAATGATGTATCTAGAAACAGCAGAGAAATCATATTAGCTATAAGCTTAATGTTTATCTAGGGGAGAATTGCCATAGAAAAAGTAATGAATTCAAAAGTTCAAATACCTAGCTTCTAATATTCTGCAATTTATTAACTCAGTTTTCTTGTTAAACTAGGACTCATTATATATAATATTAACTCCTAGGGTGTGATCTGATAATTAAATAAGACAATCTACCTTAAACAGCTGTGTAAATAAATCATGAAGTGCTTTGAAAATGTTAGCTATTACCAATATCTTTAAAGGCTGTCATCCTTATATTTAAAAAAAATCATCACATCATTATTATTCTTGAAATTCAGTAATGGTGAAGTTTGAAAGAAGAAAAGGGGAATCATTTCACTCTAAAATATCATTTGAATTACTATAATTAAAAAGAAAAATTGTCTTTTCCTCTGATGTAAGCAATACCAATTTTAGAACAACAGTTTCCCTAATACTTGCTGCAAATGTAGATTTTCTTGTCTAAAATACAAAATTTGGTGTATGGTGTTGTATGTATGTACAGTGACAGATGTTAACTAGACTTAATGTAGTGATCATTTTGCAATATATACAAATATTGAATAGTCATGATGTTTACCTGAATTAATACAATGTTATATGTTAATTATGCCTCGATGTAAAGAAAAATTTGGAAAATAACTGAAAAGTTTCCTTGTAGATATTTTTAAGGGGAAAAATGTATTATTAAAAAGATTTATAGTTACACTGAAGAAAAATGTATGTAGTAGATACTGGGGAGGAATGATATGTCATAGTTTGACATTCTTTATTGGAAAAGGCAGCTATGATTGTACTCTTATATTGAAATGTAGATCAATTGTTATTTTTAAATGCAGAGGTCTAGGATTTAGGTAAACTTACTGCACATTTGCAAAGAATAGTTGGTTAGATGAAAGCATAATTGGTTGGTTGGTTAACTGAAAAGCATCATTTAATATATAGTATTTTTCACAGTTAAGACACTATTTCATAAACCTGTGTTACTTGGTAGTGGATATGCCACAATATTCACTTCAGCCTGATGTACATATAAACTATTATGAGTTTTATTAATTAGGAAACTGCTTGATTTTGTTTCATATCTTGACTTAGAGTTTTATGTCTTCTCATAATGTAAACATTACAATGCTCTTAAATGGTTTCCTCCTGCACTTCCACTGTACTTGTACTCGAACATCCTATAATTTGGCTTTCACCCCACCTATTCTACTCAAGTATACATTCTAATATTCACTCCTCTCCTTCCTCAGCTTCTGTGACACATGATGTTCTGCCTCTCTTAAGTTATTGACAGACTTC